GGGAGTCACTCTGCGCCGAGAAAACATTGGGTTTCTTATAGCGCCGTGACTTTCGTCGCAATATTAATTTTTTTATTGCAGAGATTAAGGGATGAAACGGGGATTGATGGATGGGGAATTTTATTCTCCATTGAACAGTTTTTGTTTCATCCCTTAATATTAATTAGTCGGCGAAGAAATCAACTGAAAAATATGAAGTAAACATTGAGTACAAGGAGGACAAAAGTACCCATCCGAACCTGTCCCTGTGACAGCGGGACTGCTACTGCCGAGTTACTCAATTTTAATGATGAACACAAGATACTTTTTTTGTTTTTAAACTGACAGTACATAGCCGGAGAACCCACGAGCTATTTAGCCTCCCGTATCACATCATAGGGTATAAGAAAATTCATTATTATGAATGAAATATTCACTCTTATACAATTAGAGTGACAGATCTGGATTCTACAAACAATTTGCAATCGAATGAAAAAAAAAAAAAATTGAAAAATAAAAATTTGTCGGCTAGATTCATGGACTATCTTGAATAATTAATTAAAAAAGACTCATTGACTCTTAAACGTTAAAAAGGGGTGTACAATGACCTGCTAACGAATTACAAACGATTCGATAGGGTCATTTGTTTGAAAATAGTTTTTTGTCGGCTAATAGTATGCTGCTGAACATATCACTCATTAATTTTTTTTTATACTTTCTTTGCCATCAATAAATTAATGGTGGGCTTCCGAATGCTTTTTAGCGTAATAAAATTGTATTTTGCTAAGAATTTAAAGAAAACCTATGCCACCATAAAATCTAAACGGTTTCGAAAAGTGAACTTTTCAGGCAGGTATCACAAAATTTTTTTTTTAAATTGAAATCGTTTGGGTAGTTTTCGAGATATTTTCAAAAAAAGGTTCATGAGCAACAATTTTATCAAAACAACTGAGTCGATTGTGCTGAAATCAAGCTTCAGTCCTGAGCGTTAGTTCTGATTAATATCTATAATCGGACAAACTCGAGATCTTTTCTAAATTTTTCTACGCCTTCAAACTTTTGATTCGTTAAAAGTTGAACATCAGTTGGAAACCCGCACAGACACACATAATCTTAGAAAGTGCTATTTTTTCTTGCTCAATGCTAATTTATTAAATTAAATTTTCACAACTTTCTTTCTTCTATGAAATTTTGTTTACAGGAACATTATTCCAATCGTTGCTTCATTTCCTTACGCTAATTGTTGGAGGTGCAATTCTATTCATAAACTGAGAATTTATCTCAAAACAAGATGACATTTCGATTTTTACGCCAGCTAGAAGCAATACAACGACTTTTATTCAAAAATAGGAAAATCCAATTGAAAACTTTCTATGAATAGATATATACATTTTGATTGATTAAGATAGAGGACAAGAAGACGAACATTTCGAGAAAAAAAATTATAGCACTAAATTAACTTGATATTGAGATATTAAAAAAATTAAGCTTACATACACAATTGAATCTCTGTAACTAATTATCCGATTTAACCCACATTCAATACGAACCGTTGTAATTACCAAAAATAGCTCTCTGCCAAATTTCCAGTTGATATTTCGATTTTTACGCCTCCTAGAGACCGTACCACGACTTTGAGTAAAAAATAAGATAATCGAAATATCTCGAAACCTTTGTAGGAACAGGTATACATATTTTGATTGATCAAAATAGAGGACATCAAGACGAACATTGTGAAAAAATATATTGCAATAAGTTAACTCGTCATAGAGATATTGAAGAAATTAGGTTTACATACAAAGTTGAATCTCTCTGAAACTAATTATCCGATTTAGACCTGATTCAATACGAACCATTGTAATTATCAGAGGCACCTCCGTGCAAATCTCAAGTTGACATTTCGATTTTTGCGTGTGCTAGAAACCGAACAACGATTTCGAGGTAAAAATAGAAAAATCGATATATTTCGAAAACTTTATATGAACAGGTATAGAGGACAAGATATTGTGACGAGGCATATTCATTTATTTTTTATTATTTTTATACATATTTTTTCCCACTACACACTGCCTCCTAAAAGGTAAATCCCGCCACCGTTGGATACCCCTTCCCTCACTTTTCCCCTCATCGCCCCTCTACCCCTACCCCTGGACATCACGAAGACATCAGCCGAAGAAAGACATCAGTTCCGGCCCCACCCGATCAATTGGAGAAGCTATCGCCTCCTGGAAATTCCCCATACTAGACCCCCGAATATTCAACACTAGCAATAATCCCTTGCGAGACATCCCTGGATTGTGGTCATCGTCACCACTCACCCGTGCTGATTGGCCCCGATTGCTCCCGAATTAAAACCCGAAGGACATCGACACCTGACGAACCCCCACGAATCGCGAAGGAAAAGAAGAGACCGTCACTCGTGCATTAGCTGCCCCGTGAGTCGCCACGTGCCCCGAAAGTAGTAATAGTGAATACAGTAAAATTCGCCCGGAAGTATTGGCGGATAAAAAGAGGATTTTCGATACATCGAGCTCATCCCAGCTCTAGTATTGGTGCCCAGGAAACCCCGAGGTGGAAAGGAGGCTCTCCAGGAAAACGCCCTGGTATTTTGAAGGAGTGCAAGGCGCCGGTGGAATTCCACGTGTTCGCCAGAGTGAAGTCCCATCGTGAGTACGAGTTACCCCCCTCATTTTCCCTCTTGTCCCCACAATATTACCCTTCATACCCCCCAACGGTGAGCCTACACTCTTTTGTTTCTTCCCCATTTAGTTATTCTTCTTATATTTAGTTGCATTCCCTCGACACGACTAGCTTCTCCCCTTTTTCTGCATTAGAGTCACTCCCTTTTTTACGTGTACAAAAGTTGCCTGGCCTTACCCATAACCCTGGATCCAAGTAAAAGGCATTGCAAACGTCTTACGACGATCTATTATGTAAATTAATAGAAATATAGATATGTAGTTAATTTTATCCCTCATTTGTTCTCATTATTTAATTGCCCTAAATCCCCCTTTTTGGAAATAATAATAATTAAATATTGAAAGGTCACAATATATTTTGATTGATTAAGATAGAGGACATCAAGACGAATATTTAAAAAACTAGTGGGACGGTTGTTGGTCGCGCGCTAAAGCGTGTTCCCATTTTGAGTGCGACTGACAGTGGGTGCGAAACGCAATTGGCGTGACCCTTGATGGGTCGAACCAACAACTTCCCGGTTTTTCTGTCATTATACTTCGTAAGATAACTGATGCATGAAGGATGAGAAAACACAATCTATAATCACATGTAAATTTCAAATAGAAATCTGTTTTATCGACAAGTGTTTTATTTTTCATATACCGATGAAAAAACGGAAATTTTCAAAAGGAGTTGACGGAAATGATGAACTTTTCTTAATTATAAGCATTTCTTATGAAATTCCTATGTGATTGAGCAATTCTTTTTTCATTTTTTTTTCATTTTGAAAAATTTTCTTTTTTCAATAACTCCAAAACTACTGGACCAATATCCGCCAGAATCTAATCCGCTCTAAGTTAGATCAAGGCGTATCGATTGATAAAAAAAGAAAGTCAAATCGGACCGTTCGTTCACGAGAAATCGTTAACCAAAATTTTGACCACGTACATACCTAGTAACACACACACACACACACAGACAGACATTTTGTTAAAAACCATCGGAAAACCTTAGAAAGACCTCGAAACGTGGACATATGATGAAAAATCGATTTTTCATTTTCGGGGACATTACAATAACTTCCCTATCCGGGAAGTTGAAAATATTTAAATCGGTTGGATATTTTCCGAGATATTTGGGAAAAAGCGTAAAAAAACAAATCGCTATTTCTCAAAACCTAATGGACGAATTCAGCTGAACTTTGGCGTAGAGTTAGTCCCAAATTGTACCAATAAACTGACAAAATTTCAAATTATTTGGGATGATTTTGCCCGTTGATTCGTCAATTTTAAGAAAAAGTGACTACCGACTGGACATGATCACACACAGACATGGTCTTCAAACTTCGTATTTTTCCTTTTCAGACCATTCTGCATCATTTCCAAGCAAAATTAGCGAATCGAAAAATCGATCGAATGCAATGCTTCCATTGGGAAGAAAAAGGGGAGAATAATTGAGTGATAATTTCTCACCTAAGGTTGAGACGATCCAATTTCATCAGCTGTGAACAAATATCTTCGATAGTCACCCATGAATTGATCAAATTTTTCGATAAATCCAGCTCTTCAATATTAGGAAATAATTCTCCAAGGATTCCTGGATCTCCAGAGGTAGAAACACATTCCTCACGAACGGATACAATGCTCAACTGATCGAAGTTACTCTGTTTTCTGTTTACCTTAGAAAATCCCACCATCTCCAAAAATGGAGCGTTGATTTCCTTCCGTAAATTCATTATATGCTCTCTGTTGACTCCAGCTAACTCATCGTCTATGTAGCCATAACGATTTTTTATTGCTTCTATACAAGATATTCCTGATTTAACTTTTCCTGGACGTACAAATGATCCAGAAGTTGGATATCTGCAATGAAAGATGATATTTTTCATAATTTCTAAGGAACTAATAAGTCAAAGAACATTATTACTGCAAGAACTGGGGTAACCAAATCCTTGGAAATAAATGTGGATGTGGAATTCACGTACAAATTATTTCCAAAACATCATAGGAATGAAGAAAGTTGAGAGAATTCATGAGAAGACCTTCTCTACAGCTTTTAAAATTAAGTGAGGACGAGTCGGGCAAAATAGGCACTTCTTACTTTTTTTCAATTGTTAATAAAACGGAATAATTTTCTTCCCATGGAAAACACAGTTATTTTTCTCTGTGATAAACCTAGAATGAGGGCAATTGATAAATTTATGTCTGAGTGATAAAGATTGAAACAAAAATTGGAAGTGTCCATTTTGTCCCATATTTCCCCATAGAAAAGTCCTCTGGATGACTACATTTTCCTAGAACTGGAAAAGGATTGAATTACCGTGCTTTGAAGTATTCCTTGTCATGGTATGTTCCATTATGCTTTCCTCGGCCAGGATTATCCCAATCAATACCCAACCAAAGTCCTGCCGTGTTTTCAATTGCACCGATGTAGTAGATTGTACCGTAGTGACCATCACACGCGATGCGCTGACCAATCTTGTAATTTTCGACGTCAACGTTTCTCAAATGCTCAACCATTTTTAATTTATTCTCCCGCTCTATGAAATTCTCTGAAGGAATATCAATATCTGAAACAGAAATTTGAAGTTACGTGAACATTTTATCAGAACAGCAAATGAGTTCAAGAATTTCACCAGGTTCTTTATGAAATATCTTTGAAACTAATATAAATTCCGGAAGAATCACCAAGAAACCTTCACGTAGGGAAGATGGTTTCTCAAGGCACAAGTTTCCTTTTTGAAAATTTTTTGGAAAGTTTATCCTTTTCTGTTTTCAATCCGAGGTATATAGTTAAAACTTGAAAGTCTGTGGTGGAATGGATCGATTAAGCGACTTCTAATTTTGCCCCGTTTTTCATGGCAAAACTTAATTTTTCTAGTTTTTATCTTAAAAATGGTCCATGGACCACAATTTTCATTCAATTTACAATCAATTCAATTTTAATTCAAATGTCAAGTTTCAGGGCAATCCCCAGCCCTCAATTCAAACCTCAGTCAATGCGAGCGAATTATCAACGATCATAGTATGCATGGAGCAGATGAAATTATAGTATGTGCCAAATCGGCTCAATTCCAAGTAAAATCGGTCAACCCTTAAACCCCTCACCCTCTCGAAAGTGAACGGAGATTTCTTACAGGGTTAAGGGGCTTAGAAAACTATCTCCTGAGTTTTCTTAGACTTTTTCTATTGCCTGTATGGAAGATATCTATGTGTTCTGAAAGGAAAGGCATATATCGAAAGAATGATTTCAACCGTTCTATCTCGGAATTTCAAAGTTAAAAAAAATGTAATTTAATATTGTGGTTAAAAAATGTCTAATCTATGTTTCTCCTACAAGAAAACACTATCTCAGCTAAAATTTAAAACGGCATAACTCAAGCACTAATACACTTTCAATGAGTTGTTAAATTTGATACCGTAATTTGATACCGCATTTTTCGTATGTACAGAGTGGGAAATATTTTACGATAATTCCTGATAATATTCCTAATAAATTATTTCCAATTGTAGCAATTTCAATTTTCAGTGCGGGTTTGCCGAGTTTTTGCCTTTTAAATTGGAGTACTTCTGTTGTTTAAAAGTTGACAAAATTTGAATTTTGCCATTTAAATCTCGTTTTTATAAAATTTGTTGTTCATCCATCCTCACCAATAAAACTAGTATTTTGAGCCATACCAGAAGTTAGGCAAAGTCCCTTATTTATTTGATTGTTATTTTTTTTAGTGCGAGGCATTGTCTACGATAAAGTACTTTTGTTAATTTCATTAACTTTCGATTCATTTACATTTTCGTAGCATTAATTCCCGGTAGTCTTTCTTCTTTCTGAGTTTGAAACATTGTTCTTTCCATAGGTATTTCCGTGTATTCACCACTCTATGTAGTGGCCCCAATCATAGCTGTTTAGCTCTAACGCTCAGTTTGCTCATCAACGCAGTCATCGGTTAGCCTCGCAGAGACCTTAAACTTCTTCCTTTTGAAGACATTTTCAAAAGAAGTTGAAAATTCTCACTTATAATACCACAAGAGCTGCAAAATTATTGGGCACTTGCCGGTAGATTCGCTGCACACAAATGAAACAGTCAGGTTGTCCAGATTAAAAAATCAAGAGCGCACAGCGCGAATGATGTTTCTGAAAAACTTGACAAGTTCGTTAGTATGCAAACTTGAGGGAAATATCCGACTAATTTTGAAGCTCGAGTGGTATTCGGATGACAATTTCCTCAATTCTGATTTTGACCAATCAGAGAGCAGTATTCGGGGTCATGTGACACGTTTCACACTGACAATTTCCTCAATTCTGATTTTGACCAATGAGTGTAGTATTCGGAGTCACGTGACGCGTTTCACACTGATAATTTCCCTACAGCCGGGGGAATTATCAGTGTATGTGCAGTATTCGGGGTCACGTGACACGTTTTCACTGACAATTTCCTCAATTCTGATTTTGACCAATCAGAGGGCAGTATTCGGGGTCACGTGACGTGTTTCACACTGACAATTTTCTCAATTCTGATTTTGACCAATCAGAGTGTAGTATTCGGAATCACGTGACGCGTTTCACACTGATAATCCTATATTAAAAAAGACATGGGTCACTAATCGAACATGGCGGATCTCATGGGGATAATCGATTATTTTGCATTCGATTTCGATTAATCGAATAGAACCGGGCATCACATCAGCTGATTAGTACAAGGTTACGGAGAAATACCGCAAGATGGCAGTGTAAAAGATGATACCTCAATGTTTCAAGAAAATGCGCGCGAATTTAAAAGCGGACTTCTAGCCCCACATAGGAATCAAACACCGTAAACAAGCATAAAGTACATCAGAGCATGTTTCCTACACATGTATTTGATTATAATGAGTTGAATCAAATGTTATTTGTCAGTGATAAATGCTAAGAACTGACAAACTAATTGGAGTGATTGATAATTAAATTAACTTGAATGCGAAGGGTGGAATTAACAAAATTTATCTCCTGTTTTTCCAAGTCATTTTTTGTTTTTCGAGGTTATGTTTAATGAAACCAAGCCTTAGGTATATCCCAAAATCAATGAATTTTAAATTTTAACCGTAAAATAAAAACGTCGAAATACTTTTTATTTACAGATTTTCAATGGTCCAATTTCTTCATCGAATTGGCTAGGAAAAGTTCGAAAATAAAGCATGGATAATCAGCGTCTTTCGAACGAGATTCTGCAAATAATTGCTTTTTTTCGACATTCTTAGGAATGAATAATGGAAATGGCTCAAACTATCAAAAGAATATTTTTAGGGATCCAATTAAATTTTGGTGAAATTCTGAAAGGGGAAAAATTCATTACAATTCAGAAATGATTATTTTTAGAGTGAAAAATATATTACTATTGAATGAGTTAGATAAACAGGCAGTGCGACAGAAGCCATTTGATAGATTACATATGACTGCTACTCTCCACGTATATTTCTCCTATTTTCATTTCTACCGAATTTCATTGAGTAGGCTTCCCAATGGATCCCAATGTATGTTTTCAAAAAATTAAGGCATACGAATTCCCATTTTTTGAAAATATTAAGGCCAATCGCACTCATGTTCCCCTATTTCTATCAAATAAATTTGCAATTTCATTCAACAATATTCATGTTATATGGCTTCCTCAATAATCGTGCTGTGAAAATGGACGTTGAAATATAGATGCGTTATTTTTTTTTCTCAAAAATTTTGGGTGAATTATTTCATCTCAAGAACTATCAAATGCATAGACCTAAAATTTGATATAGGAATGTTCCTTGACAGTCCTAATTAGAAACCAAAGTTTTAAAATGTTTCCCTGACTTTTACCCATGTCATAGTGCGTAAAAGTGAACTCCGAGCAAAAAATACAAAAACGACGATATCTCGGAAAATTTCAATGGGATGGTACCCATATTTTATTGGATCTAGATAAATGGCATGAAAACGCACGTTTGGAAAGAAAAAAAAATGAAATCGGACAAATAGTTTTTGAGATATTGACCACAAGATTTCGTTCATTCAGCATCCCAAACTTATTTACCATGAAACCTAAAATCATACTAAGTTGTAAGTTTCTATCTCGATTATTTTTCAAGTTTTCGTGCGAATAAGCAATTTCAGGGAAAAAATGAAAAAACGAGAATAAAACTACATTGCTCAGGGAGTAATGGTCTTTTTTCTATCCAATTAAATAGGTATCATCGTGACGAGTATTTTGAAAAAAGAATCCAATCAGTCCAGGTGATATCGGCAAAAAACTATTTTCGAAGAATCGCTATATCTCAGGAACCGCTCAACCGATCGAGCTGAAATTTAGCATAAATTTGAGTCTCAGTAGTACCAATTAGCAGCCAGAATTTCAGCATATTTGCCTCAATAATTCTCGAGTTATGGGGACAGTTCTGGACATACGAACACACATGTGCACACATATACCCCTACTCATATACAGACATTTTTTAAAAACATCATTTCTTCACGTTTCATGACATTCCTAGGCATTTCCACCCAAAATTCAGAAGTCAAAAAAAATCATAATTGTAAAGCTTCCATTCGGAAGCAAAAAATTCGTGGTCTTCGAAAATCGCAATTTTCCGACCATACTCAGAACAGTCGACTTTTTACTTTTTTAAAAAGATTTTGAAAATGTTCCTTAATAATTATGAGTAAGTAGTAATTATAGTGTTGGAAAAAAATTTTTAATGTCATGAACAGTACAGTACTAATTTTCAGGCGAGAGACATTTACTTCCGTTTGAGAGGAAAAAGTCGTGAAATTTCAAATTTTACTGTAAATTTAATGAAATTCAACACTTTTCACCAGCATGTGAAGCGCAGAACTTTTCAAGTTACTTGAATTCTCATTTAAACGATGAATATTCTGTACCAAATCACTCTGTATTTTCGATTGATAAACAAATTATAATTGCTCAAATCATTTAGGCCACAGGAAAATAGAATGATTCAACTTCCTCAATGGTGCGTTTGCTGGGGTTTCCTTCAAAGTTAATTGGAATCAATAGTTAGAATTATGAGAGATTCTGACATTTTTGACATTAAGTATAGAAGAATCTGAATGCAACATACTGAAAATGATAATCGATTGTTTCACTTTGAACAAATAGTAACAATATTTAAATTAAAAATTTCTGATATGATTAAACAAAAAAAACTTTCACTCAATATTCCATAACTGCAAATAATAAAAATGATGATAATTATGTAATATTATCTGAATCATTAATGTGAATTTCAGACTCTCAAAAAAAGATAGAGCAGAAGTCAAACAATCATTTAAAATTTTAATTTTTAATTTGGTGCTGAAAACATTAGGTGATGATATTTCAAGCGTGGAATTATATTGATGATATGAATAACAGATTAGTTGAATTAACGAGTGAACTAATTATGAAAATTTATAAGAGTGTTCACTAGAAATCTACTCTCTGGCTTACGTTCGAGAAGAAAGTGCATTATAATTATGATCGAACTTTTATTCAGTAAGTATAGCAATTAGCACATGAACAAGTCATTTATTGCAATATGAAAAATTAACAAAATTTGAAGCTAATAAATTGGGAGAGATTATTGTCATCAGTTGCGTTGCTTTTTACAATTAGAATGATTATGAACAATGAATTGAAAAAAGGAATATTAAAACTGACAGGCAAAAGGGCAGAATGAAAGGGACATCAACAACCCGGCCGCTTGCGGCCGGGGTGGCGCTAGTACCCGATAATTTTGAAGGTCTTGGGGTATTATACACGGAGAGAAATGTTCAGTAAAAATTACTGAACTCACAATTCGCTCACCGATTACGGAATCCACTCAGAAAATTTAAGTGACGGTATCGTAATTTTTCACAGGAGACTCAGATAAAAATTACGGAACGCTCTGGAAAAATTCCGTGACAGTTCCGTAAAATTTCCTACAACCTGCTCCGGAATTACGAAAAGGATACGTATTTTTAATGAATATTTCTCTCCGTGTACCTGATAATTTTCCCATCAACATTTCGGTCAATAGAATTGTATTTTATCCATAAGCCCTTCTGTTTTTGAAATATCATAAGCGATATGAAAAATTATCAATGGAATTATTAAAAATTATCAGTTGAATATCGGCTATAAAAAAGTCGAATGGTGCAATAGGGGACTTGCATGAATTTTCTCCAAGTTTTGGGCTTAAATGATTCATTTTTCATTTCTAAACATTAAAAATATTGGTCGTTAATTAATAGCTGACTATCAAGAGTTGAACATTTGAAACACTTTGAAATCGCCAACGACGTCACAAGGATGGTCGAATGCTCGACCAATCACAGAATGGCTCGAACCAACCTTCACGTGCACGTCATCCAATGGATGACAGCAACTTCTCTCCTCACGTCAGACTTTGCGACGTCATCACCGAAATAGTAAGTGTCAAAAAATCTGATTTTCAATCGATTAGATTGACAATATTTCTAGATCTAGACAATATTTCTCCATAATTCTTTTCGTTTAGCTATCTATGGGTTATGTAGAATGGGTGAACAGGGAAATTAGGGAAAACTGCTCCACGCATGTTCCCTATTCTATTGTTTGAAATTTGGATGGAGAGAATTATCTTTGAATTTTCTTTCATAATTATCTGAAAATCTCCCCTTTTTTATTTAATATTTTGCTACTCAATTGATCATATGTCGCCGGTCATATGAAATTGCATATTATATTACTAGTGCATAAAGTTCCTCTTTTTCAGACGCACGTAGTTCTTTCCACATCCTATTTTTTGTATTACCTGCCAAGTTCGTTTTTCGGGGATGCAGCGGGTGTAAAGTGTTTGGTTTTTATGCGGAGTGCGTAAAATGCAAGTTCGTGTGTAATACTATTTTTCGACCTATGTTAGTGACGAAGCATATTTTTTGTCCCGACGGTCGTGAGCGAACCCAGTTAAAAATAATGCAAAATAATTATGTTAACGCTAACATTCTTTGCATATTATCTATTTTAGTTAATAATAATATCTATTTTAGTTAATAATAATCAAATTGAGGTGGTGGATTAAAATTGGTATCAACATAAGGTAGCTAACTTTGTCTATCAGTCGAAAAAAACATAAGTGTTTGCATTTTTAAATAAACATCCTGAATTCCACTCTCGAAAAATTCTCCCTCACTGAAAATGAAAACTTTTAATACCTCCAGAACATCTGAAAAAATCGCAAAAGATTTCGTCAAATCTATAACCCCGGAAAATACTCTATCCAATTCAAGTTAATTTTCACCTCAAGTTACTTCAGCTCACCTTCAGCCTTCGTCTCCAATGACTCCTAACAGTCTTTAATGCCTCCACGATCACCCAGGTTAGGGCATCCCAAACCCCGGTTATTCCTCCTCCATGTCAATTGAACGAATCAACTTCAAATAACTGAGAATCACTAAAATAACACCCAACCAACAGAATTTTCCCCAATGTAGACCAACCCAATATTCCGTCCACTTCTCCACGTGTGGTCTAAAACGACTCCATGAAAACTCCAAGATCAAGACTACTTTAGATTCTCTAGGGCTGTCATCACCGTTCCGTGATTCCGTCCAATGAGCCTCTCCCTCTCCTCCCTGCAGCCAAAAACGGTTCACAACCTCTACCCCGCTTCCGTCCCCTTCCGCACGGAGAGTGTAGTAAACATACTGATCAGCCACCGCAACCCTTTCGAAACAGTTTCCTCTACAACCAACACTCCACGGTGTACCGACGTCGGTGGCCGAAGCGGCTAGGTGCGAGCCTAGTGTGCGAAAGGTGAGTTCGATTCCCCGTGGAACCGAGTTTTTCAACCGGAGGCTCCAGCGAGCGGGAGGTCGCTAATATAGTGACCGCCTGGGTGACCGGCATGAGTTTGCTGTGGTTTCCCATGCTACTCCTATGTTCTATAGGAGTGCGAATGCGGTGCAGTGTAGAATCCACAGCCGCATGCATAGGGTTGGATAGGGCCGATTAGCCAATCAGAGGGCAGAAAGGGCCGAATATAAAAAAAAAAAAGTCCACGGTGTCAGCCGGTGACGAGTGTCGAGGTTCAGTTCCCATTGGCCCATGACAATCACGTGGTATATACATCCACATCGTCCAACTCCAACAAATTTCGGAGTAGTACATATAGGCAGACAGTACATACATGTGTATATATAACACGTATAACGTTTAATCTGAATTGACTTTCACGTACTTATATCAAACAATATGTGTGTGGTTGATTGCCATCTGTGAGATACCTCTCCACCTAATTCTTACATACATCACAATACATCAAACATTGGTGTCGCATATTTCATTCTACATATGTACATTGTACCAATTTACAAAACTTACTCCTGCCAACTCATCCTTTTCCCATTGTCCGATCAACATTCGTTACAAAAAATGAATAATTTGCGTGGTTTATAAGACTGATAACGTTAAAATTCACACGAAGAACGAGAAGTGGTGACAACAGTGGGGCATGAAGGTGTAATGAACCTTGATATTTAATGAATGGGGAATACTGTTGTGGCTATGTTTGTGGATCATTTAATTATTCGCATATGATTGTCGGGTGATTTAACAGGTATGTGCCAGTGATTTAGTGCTAGTGTCAGGCTTTTCAATACTCTCTGATTGTTTTTTGAATGATTGTTGCAGGGATTTGTTAGGACAAAAACAATAATGACTACAGCGGCAGTTCCACTCACACCCGAGTATAATAGTAAATTTTTTGAATCTCTGCAGACTGATCTGAAGGCATTAGGTGCAGAGACGAAGAAAAAGTATCCACAGATTAAGGAGGTTAGTTTTTATCGATTTGTTGGGCTGATAATCCAAATACATCATGTGTGATTGTACATGAAAACTACAGATTCGTAGGTTGTAGAGGATTCTCATTGGTTTGTAACTTTTTTAGCGTTCGCTTATGTGTTATCGATTATTTCCGATTTTGGTTTTTATCTATGGAAATATTTACATTAGAAGAACCTTAAATAGTTAAAGGAATGTATAGATAGAGGAGGCAATTGAGTGAAATAAATGAGGAAGTGGTTGAATGATGCAGAACGTAAAAACTCATTGTTGATTAGGCATTTATCTTCAAAGTGAATGATTTTAGGAGGAAATTTTTCAGCAATTTTTTTGAACGAAAGTCAAATGTCATAGAAATGATCTCGTGATAATACCTATAAAATCACTCATTTACGAGACAACTATGCAATTGTTGTACCATTCTCGTGCCAAAATGACTCTTCGATAGATGTCTAGAAATCTGAGGGGGGGGGAGGGGATGCATGGATTTTCGAAATACTAACGCTGCCACGACCGCGACGTTAATGCCCTTTCATTATGCTTTTTCTCATTTTTTCCTTGCGTTTCTTTAAAAACTTAATGATTCATCATCGTCTTACTAAACTGAGCGTTAAGGTTAATGTACACAATGCTTATCGATTCATCAACTGTTAAATTTCAATGTTTCAATAAGTGATTTACTAATGGTAATTACCATATTCCATGTGTGTGGACACTGCCTTTTTTGCCATGAATCTATGGAAAGTACCATGATGGAAGGTTATACCGTACGTCTATAGTTTTTATCAAGCGTCTGTGGTTTTTTCCCCTGTCGCCTGTGGTGCTTTACCATGAATGTGAGGTAAAGTGTACGCCGTATAGTAATTTTTTTCCATGTGTCTATGGCTCTTTCATAAATGCATGGCAGCATCGAATTTGCTTCTGCAATATTACTAAATTGACAATGCAGATATGATTAAAGGGTTTCAACTGTCAAAAAAATGATACCATTGCTTCGAAATTTCTCTGAGACTGTCATAGCAGTTGTCAAATTGTGTAGAATCTTTTTCTAATTTTTCTAAATTTAGTTTTCAACTTATGGAGATTTTTCCAATTACCACGAAATTATATCACCAGCACAGATGTTGATACAATGGCATACTAAAGCCCACGTATAAGAAGCGCCTTATACTTATATGAGGCTAGCTGCATCGAGCTCTGCTAGCTCTTAACTTTTCAAAATTAATGAATCATGGATAAAACTAGTGGAATTGGAGAGCCTGGAAAAATTTTTGGTTTCAGACGCTAATTGATGGACAAATTTATAGAAACAGTGAATTACCCAATGGAAAGTTTGTCAAATTGGAAACATTAATTTTTCTTCGACGGAAACAAAAATTGTTATCACGAAACAATCTTTGAGAACTGGAAGAGATCAAAATCGTGACTGCATTACCATCTGTACTTCTAATAAAGTTTACACGTGACTGACACTTCTAATAAAGTTTATACGTGAAATGACTATGATTGTTAATTATTTGAAAACGAATTTTTAAAAATTAGAAAAAAATTTATGCACAATCTTACAACTGCTGTAAATGTCTCAGAATAATATTCAATCAATGTTATAATTTTTTTCACGGATGAAACCCTTCAATAATATCTGAATTGTCCAGTGAGTAATTTCGACAATAAACGTGATTATTTCCCCCATTACCCTTCCGAACAATAGAATTGCGGAATTCGACGTCCCGTGGTCCAATCAGAACATAATTATATCGATTGTTTTCTGCCGTTTTCCAGATAACTTGGTAATGAGTATAAGAAAATGTCCAGGAACCTAGCTCACCGAATGATTATTCTTAATAAAAAAAAGTATTTTTGCAGGATTCGTGGTTCGTATGGTTCGGGAAGCTAACGAATCGACTAATAGGCGAATTGGATATTAACAAAGTTTATTCGCCGAAGCGTAATGCGGACAAAAAAATTACAAAAGTAGTTAGGTATCAGATGTTCGCGTAAAGGCGTTAACCGATAGACTGACTGCTGACGAGCTGTCTGAATTATGTATGTTAACCTAGCAGGCAAAAGTAGCAGAATCGAATTTTCAATATTGGATAATTTGCAGCTTATTATGAGCTAATTTTATATGCCTTTAAAATTTTTTTTGCTAATACCGTTTTTGAAAAAAACGTGTCTCTGCTAGCTTTTTTGTAAGTCAGCAGAAAAATTATTTAAAAAATCAATAGAATTTGATTTTCGATATCGGATAATTTAAAGCTAATTTTCTACGTTTTCACAAAATTTCCAACTAACCCAGTTTTGGGAAAAACGGCGTCAATGCTAGCTTACTGCAAGTTAGCAGAAAAAATGGTTAAAAAATTAACAAAATTTGGTTTTCGACATGGGATAATTTAGAGCTCATTAGCAGCTATTTTTTCACGTTTCAAAAAATAATTTTTTTTTTCAAAACATTTTTGTTTTTTTTTTTTCACAAAACGACGCATTTATATACTTTTTACCAAAATGTAGAAATGAACGAAATCTCATTTATAAAATTTGCAAAAAAATCAGTTTTGACATTGGATAATTGAAAAATCATTACCAGATAATTTGTTATAATTCCAAAAGTTTTCATTTTTATGCCGTTCGGAAAACGATAGCGTTGCGGCTTATTATGACCTAATTTTATATGCATTTAAAAATTTTCTGCTAATGCCATTTTAAAAAAAGCGTATTTATGCTAGCATGATGCGTATGCTAGCTTTTTTGTAAGTTAGCAGAATAATCATTTAAAAAATCAATAGAATTGAATTTCCGATATCGGATCATTTAAAACTAATTAAGAGCTAATTTTCTACGTATGTAAAAAAATAGCTGCTAATGAGCTCTAAATTATTCCATATTGAAAACGAAAGTTTGTTCATTTTTTAACCATTTTTTCTGCTAACTTGCGGTAAGCTAGATTGACGCCGTTTTTCCAAAAACTGGGTTAGCTGAAAATTTTTTGAAAACGTAGAAAATTAGCTGTTAATTAGCTTTAAATTATCCGATATCGAAAATCGAATTCTATTGATTTTTTAAATAATTTTTCTGCTAACTTATAAAAAAGCTAGCAGAGACACGTTTTTTTCAAAAACGGTATTAGTAAAAAAATTTTTGAAGGCATATAAAATTAGCTCATAATAAGCTGCAAATTATCCAATATTGAAAATTCGATTCTGCTACTTTTGCCTGCTAGGTTAACATACGTGTCTGAATTTCGGACATTGGGGCCGTGGAGGTCCTCAGGTGTATATGTGTGCGTGAGGTCAGTGACGGGCCTGTAGGTGCGTGTGTAGTGAGGCGCTAGATTTTGAAATTTCCTTCTAAATCTATTCATGTCCAAGATATTCCCGGAAAACTTTCACCGTTCCAGCACAGAATTTAATTTTAATTAGTGATTGAATTCAATTGTCGACTTCCTTCGTGTCTTTTCATCGGGATTTTCTTCTACACGTCAGCCTTTTTTCCCGAGGTAAACGATGCCGAGTGACTTAAATTTTAATGTAATGTTCAACATTCTATTGAGAGATAGTAAATTTCTGAGCATATGATGAGAAAAAGTCATGCATCACAGAAATTACCTGTCACCCACGACAGACGGCCATACATTTATGAAATGGCCATAGACACCTGAAAAAAATTACCATACGTCGTGGACTTTACCTTACAATCAACAATCAAACAATCAAAATTTCAGTGAAAAAAGTGAAATTTTTAAAAAAATTATAACTCGCTGAAAAAAATCGAATCGCCGAAGAATCTATGAGAGCTTGGTCTAATGTACTTCTTCGAAAAAAAAATCGGCAAGGCAATTGGAATCATAAAATTTTTTTCATCTCGGATGTGACGTAGAATTGCTCTATTTTATTATTATTCTTTTATATAAATCAACATATTCTCTCATAAAAAAGTCACCTGTAAGTAAATTAATCTATAGATAATGTCCAAAAACTTTGAATTTTTCAGTCGTGCGAGGAGGGAATAACGAAACTGCGTACCGTGATAAACAACCCGGGCGCCTCCTCCGTCTACCATGTTGTTAATCAAATTCTCTATCCCCTGGTCCAAGGGTGTGAGAGTAAAGATATGAAAATAATCAAGTTTTGCCTTGGAATGATGCAAAAACTGATAACACAACAAGCAATTGATCAAAAGGGTGCACGTTATATAACAGACACCCTCTGGATGCTGATGGAATTAGGAATAGAAGAAGTCAAAGTGCTTCAGACCGTCACACTTCTCCTGACCAGCAACACAATTGTCCATGGTGAGACACTAGCCCGGAACTTGGTCCTTTGCTTTCGTCTGCACTTCACCAAAGACTCGACAACCATTAACACTGCTGGAGCAACTGTTCGCCAACTGGTCTCTTTAGTTTTTGAACGAGTTATTGTTGAAGACGAATCACTCAAAATTTCTAGGCAACCTCGACTCGAGCCTGAGCAAGCTCCACCCCAACCAGATCAATCTCAAGCGAAGCAGAGTCATTCGGATGACCTGAGACAAAGCTCAGCCCAAGCTCCAAAGGGTCTTGCCCCATGTGCTGCTGATGCATTCCTCATGTTCCAGGACCTAGTCCACCTGGTGAACGCAGACCAACCCTATTGGCTCATCGGCATCACTGAAATGACCCGAACCTTCGGCTTAGAACTCCTGGAGTCAGTTCTCACAAACTTCTCTTCAGTCTTTTTCAATCATCCGGAGTTCAGGTTCCTTCTGAAAGAGCGAGTTTGCGCTCTGGTGATCAAACTCTTCTCCCCTAACATCAAATACAGAAATTCAGTACCAGCCTCTGTCCAGCAAGCCACTCCCCTGGACAAGCCCTACTTCCCCATCAGCATGAGACTCCTTCGAGTTGTCTCAATCCTGATACAAAAATATCACTCACTATTGATCACTGAATGTGAAATTTTTCTCTCACTAATTGTCAAATTCTTGGACCCGGACAAGCCTGTTTGGCAACGAGCACTGGCTCTAGAAGTCCTCCATAAAATGACAGTGTACACAGACTTGTTGATAAGTTTCTGCGAATGTTATGATCTGAAACAACACACGACAAATATCTTCCAGGATATTGTCAACAGTCTTGGAGCATACGTCCATAGTCTTTTCGTGAATCCAGTGCAGATGAGTCCCCAGGTGAACCCAGCTGGAGCTTCAGCTGCTCAACAACCCTCGATGGCTTCAGCAACTCTGCTGGCTGGAATGCCTGGTCCAGGTATCTCTCCCCAACCTGGCTTCTACTCTCGAGGAATTTGGCTGCCAATAGTTGTCACATACCCGAGTGGTCAGGCTAAACCCATTTATTTGGAGATGTTGGATAAAATTGAACCTCCACAGATACCTGACGGCTATGGAATCAGCATAGCTTATGCCTGTCTTCTAGATATCATCGGTTCGATTTCCTTTGGAATTGTGGGCTCTAATAACGATCAGACTGGGAGAGGAGGTGAAACACATGAGAGTAATCAATACAAGCCATCAGAGGCGGAACAAAAACTTCATATTCAATTGATTACATCTAGTTGGTGTGGACTACTAGCTGCACTGAGTCCATTAGTCGATGCCAGTACTGATGAATCAACGACTGAGAACCTTCTCAAAGCAGTTCAGACATTTGCATCATTGTGTGGATTGTTGGAGCTTCAAACTCCTCGAGATGCTTTCATAACAGCCATTTGTAAAGCTTCGTTACCTCTTCATTATGCATTGACAGTTCTGAATGTAAATGGCAATGGAAATACTGTGAAGGGGATGAAGGCAGGTCCACTAACACCAACGAGAAGTCAACAAGGGGAGAATCAGCCTCAGAATCAAACTCAATCCCCCCCACAGCATCAAGATTCCTGTCACAATTATAATCCTTCAATCGCTGAGCCCTTGGATTACAGACAGCAAGTAGTAGCAGTAGGAACTCCACTCCCAACAGCTTCCTTGCCCATTGGCGCTCAGCATCAAGGACCAGTGATGCTGACTGCAAAAAATTTGCAGTGCATGAGGGCATTATTAATGCTTGCCCACTGTCATGGAAGTATTCTAGGCAGTGCCTGGCACCTCGTTCTCACCACTCTCCAGCACCTTGTCTGGATTCTTGGACTAAAACCATCAACAGGGGGTTCATTAAAAGCTGGGCGGACAGCCACAGACTCCAACGCTGTTCTGACAACAGCTGTTATGGCAGATTTACCTGTACTTAGTGCCATGCTGAGTAGATTATTCGAGAGCAGTCAGTATCTGGATGATGTAGCTCTTCATCATCTCATCGATGCTTTATGCAAGTTGAGCCAGGAAGCTATGGAGCTAGCGTACACAAACAGAGAGCCATCGTTGTTCGCTGTTGCCAAACTATTGGAGACTGGGATTGTTAATCTTTCGAGAGTTGAGGTTCTCTGGAGACCTCTGACCAATCATCTGTTGGAGGTTTGTCAGCATCCTCACATCCGGATGAGAGAGTGGGGAGTAGAGGCAATAACGTATCTTGTTAAGTCTGCGTTGCAGTACAAGTATCCGACTCCACTCAGGGACAATCAGAAGCTGCAGACGTTGTTACTGGGACCTTTATCAGAATTGTCATCAGTCAGACATGCAGATGTGCGCCAGAGACAGCTAGAGTGTGTCCTCCAGATCCTCCATGGAGGTGGAGAAACTCTTCATCATGGATGGCCATTGGTTCTTGGCATCATTGGAGCTGTTTCTGATCATCAGGGCGATAATCTCGTGAGGATTGCGTTTCAATGCCTTCAGCTCGTGGTAACAGATTACCTGCCTGTGATGAGCTGGCGTTGTCTTCCTCTTTGCGTGGACACAGCTGCGAAATTTGGCTCTCAGACGCAAGAACTCAATATATCGTTGACTGCTGTTGGACTCATGTGGAACATCAGTGACTACTTCTTTCAGAATCAGGAGAAGATACTGAATTCATTAAAGTCCAATGAGTCTCAGGTGGAGAACATCTTTCCAGATTTCCCTGGGACCACGAACATGCCCTCGTTTGATAAATTGTGGATGTGTTTGTACACGAGATTGGGGGATTTGTGTGTAGACCCTAGACCTGCTGTTCGTAAGTCTGCCAGTCAAACGTTGTTCTCTACGATTTCGGCGCATGGGGGATTGCTCCATCAGCAGACGTGGCAGGCGGTTCTCTGGCAGGTTCTCTTCCCACTGCTGGATAAAGTGAGAAATCTGTCGAGTTCAGCGAGCAATGAAAAAGTTGATACTAGTGGAAATATTCTGATTCATCACAGTAGAAATACTGCACAGAAACAGTGGGCAGAGACGCAAGTATTGACTTTGAGTGGAGTGGCAAGGGTCTTCAATACCAAGAGACAATTACTTCAGACGTTGGGGGATTTTCCAAGGGCCTGGTCACTCCTCCTTGAGTTCATAGAGTATGCAGCATTGAGTAAAAACAACGAAGTGTCTTTAGCTGCGTTGAAATCGTTTCAAGAGATTCTCTACATTCAGAAGAATGGCAACACTGACAATTATCCCGAGAGCTCAGGATTGAGCTCTTCAGTATCTTCGATGGAGTCTCTATGGCTGGTCGTCTGGAGAGTGTGGATAAATATTGGTATGGAGAGTTCTGTGGTAACTTCTCTTTCACAGAGAGATAATTCTGATCCATTGATTAATCAACAAACTTCTCAGAACATTTTGGTTGATTCCATACAACAGCCTTATGTTCCCTCTCAAGCGTTTCTTTCAGCGCTAATTCAAATATTCCCAGCGATATTCCAACATATCAGGGATAAATTTGTTAGCAGCGATGTCGAAAAATTGTGTACAGTACTTAAGCACGTAGTACAGGTTCCAGTTCATGGAGAATCGACTCCTTACATCCTTCCCACTGTTCCTGATATCATTTTGACCCAACTTCAGGATGGCGTTTTACACTCGATGGAACTTTTGAAGGGTGAAGCACTGAGTGGAGAGTCTGATAAACTCAATACCATGATTGGATTTATATTTTTGCAACTGTTGGAATTCTCCAAACTAGCTTGCCACCCGCCCTCATCAACATTAGCAAAACTACAGATTAAGACGAATTACAATATGAATCAGTCCCAGCAGATTCGAAGTTCTTCTAACGAATGGATTACAATGAATTATGTCCCTTTTGGGGAGAAATCCTTGACGATGGCTGTCAATCTTTACGAGAAAATATCTGCAGAGTTTGTGGTGATTGATCAAGAGATCTTGAAACACATTATTGGAGCTTTGAAAATTCCTCTATCCATGAAATACGCCTGCCCCTCTCCCACGACATGGAAACTCGCTGTGACGAGTCTCCTAACAGTTCTACATGTTGGTTTACCTCTTGCCAGGAAGCATCAAGATAAGTTCGAGACGATGTGGCCAGTGTTGGCTGATACTCTTGACGAGTTTCTCTTTCCAAAGAGCTTATCGATGATCAAAACAGAGAGGAATCTCGAGGAGATCCAAGCTGACGAGGCTGTCGACTGTCAGATAATGGAACTACTGAGGGATCAAGTCCTCCCACATTCCCAGTTCATCCCTCAGGCGTTTATACTGAGAATAGTTATGCTACTTAATAAGGGCTCAATACACTCAGCGACGTCTTTGCATAATACAAGTACAAATACAACTGCTAACTTAATGGGTTCAGCGATCAACGATTTTTCGTCTGTAACATTGAATAATTGTGAGACCAAGTTGAGAGAGGAGTTTGCGAAAACTTGTTTTGAGACCCTCCTGCAGTTCTCGTTGGTCGATGGACTCAGTGATGTTACGGAGTTTCCAATGTTCCAGAGGACGATTAATAATGCTACGATTAGTGACTGTGAGGATGAGAATGGGGGAATTGCTGGACGATTGGCAGTGACTGCTCTGTTGCATAGGTTCCAGCAGGTTTTGTATCGTTATATCGAGGATGATAGGAAGAGCGGAAAGTGCCCGCTCCCCAGATATAGATTATCGGAGATTTCCTTTGTTCTTAAGGCGGTGGCGACTCTTGTAGTGTCGTTGAAAAAGGCACCATCGAATAAAGTGGAAAAGTCTGTTTGGCAACAGCTAATTGGACTTTATCCGTGTTTAGTGGAGTGTAATCTTGCTGCAGCTTCTCCTCAAGTATCTAGGTCCCTTAGGGAAGCTCTTATGCAGTATTACGATCTTCTTAGGCCACCTGTGGATGGGAGTATCGGGGGGGTACCTTCGATGTCCAATAATGGCGTTTAACCTGCCAGTGAGCAAGTTCTCGGGGAATTGATTCAGTACGGGAGGAATGGAAGGAGATAAGTCTGATTTGTGATTTTTTTTTGCCAATATCTGGGTTTTCATTAGAGGATCTTTGTGTGGAAAGTTTTGTGGATGACAAAAAAGGTCCATTGATATTTTTTGTATAAACCTGACCTTCCCTTTCGAAATCTACATAAAATAATTCAAAAACTTTTTTTCATGGGTTCAAGGAAAATTTGTAGGATATTTTGCAAATACCTAGGAAATGAAAGCATTCAAGGATGTTGACTTTGAAAACTATCATGAACAAGTCAGTCGATGGTTTCTGATGAGCGAACGTTTTGAAGCTATTTGCAGAATAGACTGAAAGAATCTTTCGGATGATCTCTTTCCAAGACTTTTCTACAGAATCGATGCATACATTTGCTTTATATTCGATTCATCAGATGTATGCTTACGAGTATTTTGTAAGTAATTCAATAATAAACAGCGAGGCCTTAGTCAATTTGGTGTTATTCAGTGGATATGTTGATGGGTGAATTAACGAGTTACAATCGTCCGTGTATCTGTATTGGATTGTATAAATTTGTGTTAATAATTTATATTGTTTTTAAGTATCCTTAGGTTTATTGTAATAAAATGTTGTAGATATCTATCTATTAATGAAGATTAAACATGATGTCAGATGACATATGCGTCTATTATTTCTTTTTTCTACCAATTTGGGGGGTTCAGGAGAAAATTTAAAAAGAACTTTCATAGTCTACAAAATATGCGGAAGGGACGTTTAACAGTCTTCGCAACCTTTCTTCGGAGATGTGAAGAAAATAATTTGCAAATGGGGAAAAGGTGGACACTTGACTTTTTCCCTTTAATGTTTGAGACACAATTTAGACTTTCTTTCACTTGTCTTTTAACAAATTAGTTTTAACTTGTGACGAAGTGAAATGAGCCGCCCACACCATATTTCCGCCTAAGAACTTCCCTGCACCGTTGGCCACCCTATTTCCCCAGTTACTGCCTCCAATTCCCCTCACCATCCTGCCGAAGCCGACGAAGCATCGCCGACAACGAAACTCAGCAGCACCACGACCACCACTGCAACTAGACAAGAGACCGCACCCTGGAAACTTAACCATTGAGGATGGATGAGAGATTGAACCCATTCCCACTATCATCCTGAGGACGCCCCTGTGATATGTCCTCTCTCCCGCGCACCGCACACTCCAGAAACTGTAGTAGGATTCATATTGAGATATCAGAATAATAAAAGGATAAGAGGTGGTAATCTTTAGAGAGATGAACAGTAGAAGTATCCCGAAATTTAGGAGGCAGAAGGAAGGTTCGCAGCATATTCTGGAGTTGCTAGGACTTTACTGGAGTTTTGATTGGACGCAGAGTCGCTAATTATATTATAATCAGCAGTTACCGTGAGTACCAGTTGCTTTCTCCCCCCCTCCCAGAATTATTCCCTATAACATCCCCTCCCCGCTCTTAACGGTGCGCCCACAGTTTCTATTTTCCCTAATTATCATTCGAAGAAATTATTGTAAACTATTCAGAATCAATCCCTAGACACGAGTCCCCTTTTGTTCACATTTTAGAATCATTCCCCGTCGCGTGTACAAAAGTCGCCTGGCCTTACCCATTCCCTAGATAAAGATAAAAGATAGTTATCATTGTAAAGAATTGGTGTGAAATTTAAGGAAATATAGAGTATTATTGGAATTGTAATTAGCCTCCCGTGTCCCATTCAGTTGATCGCCCTGATCCCTTCTTTCAGACATTATAAATTAATTTAATCCTTGGACAATAATATCAGGTAATTATTAATCATATTATTTATTCGGAAATAAAGTCCCCTATTTCAAACTCTACAGACAGACCGACTGTTTGACTGACGACTATAGATTTACTCTCATTGACTTTGATAATAACAATTTAGAAAATTCACTGTATATAATTCAATACATTTTAGTTGTTTCCTCCACTGAGAATTATTACTAAGTGAGTTCCCTTGGATCGGCTTTTTGCTTCCAGTATGAGCCCTGATATAATTTGGGGTATCCTCGTACAAGGCAGAGGCCCCAATGGTACTCAATCGCATCACCTGTTTGAATTCATTATCCTCTCGTTGTTCAGCCGTTGGACGATAGTCGTTAAATTTGATGATTTATTCAAATATTATGAATTAGTTACTAAAAAAAATGAATTCGAAATATTTGTAATGCAACAGTCACTTCATGCTGAAATAATTTCTACATATGTAGAGAAAATAGATGAATCGGTCATTATTCGTAAAAGGTAGGCACCTCTCCTAGCCAGTAGTTCCAAAAGTGACAAAGAAGGTCTATCTATGCCATAAATGATTACCAAAACTAAATCAGTATAAAGTGGAGCCAGTCGTGCATTCGAATGTTCTTCCTTTATTTCCACTAACCACACATTCGTGCTGTTTTTGTTATTTCCTTAAAATTGTCAGAATTTCTGTTTTTTTTGCTCATTAAAAATCTATGGATGATTTCTCAAACAGTCGCATTCATTCCGATAATCTCAAAGAGTCAGGTAAACTATGAGCTCTTAATTAAGGATTGATTAGCAGTGATCATAATTGGATTTTTTAATTAAATTTCTGTATAGTTTTTTCGAGTTTCATCGATTCTGGAAAGAAGTGCCTCCATTCGATATGTTCAGACCGAGGAACTTCGGTGTGGAATCAATTTCTTGGATGGTTTACAGAGAAAGGAGGAAAAAATGCGAATGATGGTAAACTAAATGAGAACATGAGTGATAAAGTATCTGAAGATGTTCCCTATGATTCCAAGAATTATCACGAGGGAGTGTGCAAGTGGGAGCTGACGTGTTGTGAAATAAAAATACAGGTAAATATGTTTATTAAAATAATCCGATAGTGTAGTGAACCTTTCAGCTTCGATCGCTCAGAGGAAGCGTCTCTTGATCAATAAAACGTTATCCTGCAAATCTCATGTTGTTTTGTGCGATTTGTTGATCAACGTGTTGTTGAATTATAAGTTTCATAATCGGATAATCTCATAGAATTCTCAGAAAAGTTCATCTACCCTTCTTCCCCTCGTATATACGACTCGTGTACTTGGATTCCTCCTGAAACGGTCTGATTACATCCTGTTGGTGAAAAGAAGAATAGGAATATACACAGAAAAAAGTGAATTCACTTTAGAAACTAGGTTCTGGATTTTAGAAATTCCTGTTCTTAAGCTTTATTCTTGGTCAGATCATAAAAACTGATCAATTTGTGGATTGTTTTTAAGAACTAATATTTTATAAACCCAATGCTTAATTTTCCTTAATTTTAGAAAATTTTCAACTTGAATTAAAAAATTGCGGACGAGGGATTTAAAGGGCGTACGTGCCCTGTACACAGGGAGGGCCCAAATATCGGGAGTTTCAGATATGAAGAGGCTTGCATACATGGGAATTTCTTAAGGGGTTTAAGGTTTATATGAGTGATTTTATTTATGGGAGGGGGGCTCGTGTAAAAAATGGAGTGAGGGAAGTTGTCATGAATTCACGATGTACTTAATTTGTTCGTGAGTTTTTCAAGGATCTCTGAAACTAAGGGAGATAGCCTTGAAAAACTTACCGACGAACCAAGTCGTCTACCGGAGGGGGGGCTTGTACTGAATTTTCGATGTAACCCCCCTCCCCCCCCGCCCCCAAATAGACATCCTATAAAAAAAAATCCTCCCCAACGATAATCCACCCTTTCACAAAATACTCCTCTTTACAAAACCTCCCTCTTTGCAAGCCCTCCCCCCTATAATGTGACGCCCCATGTAAATCCGCTCTTTTACGTCCTGCCCCACACCTAGACCCCTTATGTACACTCCTCTCTCCATTGATAAAACCATTCAATGAAATCCCCCGTATATACGCCCCCCTGGATATCACTACCCCCCTCTTTGCAAAATTCCCTCTCAAAAATTTTAAAAATTTTCTCGATTTTAGAAAATATGTTTTAGTCTAAAACTAAGTACATTTTGGCTTAAAATTAACCCCAATTTTCATCATTAATTTTGAGCGTTTTTTTTCTAAAACTTCAAAAAGTTTTTTCTTTTAAAGTTTCTAAAACTTTAAAAGAAAAAAGTTTCTTGATTTTAGGAAACTGAAGCTTAAAAACCACCATTTCTAAAATTGAAACCTTTTTTTCAAGCAATCCACTTTTTTTCTCTGTGTAGGATTCCAACTGCTGAAGCCGCAGAAATGAGAAAGAATTATTTTCTCATTCATTCCTATTCCGCTAACAAACACAAAAATTTGTTTGTTCCCCTTCCTTGTTTTGTGGAATTTATGAGAACTTGATTAATGTCAATAAACCAATAGTTATTAAAAAAAAAACCGAGAGTTATTTTTTAACTGTAGGGATTATTCTATTTTATCTCTGAGGTATTGGGGCAAAACCGAGAGTTATTTTTTAACTTGACGGATGAGTCTATGTTTTCTTTAGGGTCTTGGGGACGAAACCGAGAGTTATTTTTCAACTTTAGGGATTTTTCTATGGTATCTCTGAGGTCTTGGGGACAAAACCGAGAGTTATTTTTCAACTTTAGGGATGACTCTAGGCTTTCTTTAGGGTCTTGGGGGCGAAACCGAGAGTTTTTGCTTCCGAATGGAAGCATTGTATTCCTCCGAATTTAAGTTTCCAGTTTTCTTCGTGAAGATGACTAATTTGGGGGTCAGGAGTCCGAATCTGATGTTTTTAGACCCTGTCCGTATGTATGTCCGTATGTCCGTATGTATGTTCATGTGTATGTGTGTATGTGACCGATTAAGTTTTTTCACGATAACTTCAAAAATAATTATCTGAATCAATCGAATCTGGGCTAGAAATATGCGTTTGGGCTAGAAATATGCATATGCGTTTTTATGTTATACAGACCGAGTTCGAAGATGGTGTCGATTGCGCTTTTAGTTTTTGAATTATTCTCAAAAATTTGGCCTAAGGTTGGTCCAATGTTGGCGCAATGTTGGTGTGATGTTGGCGCAAGGTTGGCGCAAGGTAGGCCCTTATGGGGGTCTTATGGGAGTCTCATGGGGGTTTATGAGGGTCATATGAGGGGGATTGCCAGGGGGGGTTGCTAGGGAGTATTTCTAGGGGAGGTTGCTAGGGGGGTTGCTAGGAGAGGTTGCTAAGGGAGATTGCTAGGGGGGTTGATAGGGGATTGCTATGGGTGGTTGCTAGGGGGGTTGCTATGGGTAGCGTCCCCTGATCTTTCAGCGACGCCTGAATATGAGAGTATTATGGGGGTCATAGAGGTGATAAGGATGATAAGGGTAATGAGGGTCTTATGGGGACGTATATCATCAGTTAATGGCAAAGTGCAATGAAAAGGCAATGAGTTTATGCTTCCTTTAGGGTCTTGGGGGCAAAACCGAGAGTTATTTTCAACTTTAGGGATTATTCTGTTTTCTCTGAGGTCTTGGGGACAAAACCGAGAGTTATTTTTTAACTTTAGGGATGGGTCTAGATTTTCTTTAGAGTGTTGGGGGAAAGAGAGTTCTTTTTCAACTTTAGGCATGAGTCTAGGCTTTCTTTCGGGTTTCGGGGGCAAAACCGAGAGTTCTTTTTTAACTTTAGGGATAATTCTATGTTTTCTTTAGAGTCTTTGGGGCAAAACCGAGAGTTATTTTTAATAATCGGTACTAAAGA